CTAGAAGGAAAAATACAACCCAAGAAAACTAGCTACTTTCAAAAAAAACACAGGAAATAAAACCTCACTACAGCAAAACAAAAAGTAGCCAAGCACACAAACACACTCCCAGAGCCAACATCAAAATCAAAGGATCTAAATTAAAGCCACTGGTCATTAATCTCGATCAACATCAGTGGACTCAATTCTCCAGTAAAAAGACACAGACTACCAGAATGCACGTGTAAACAAAACCCAACAATCTGTTGCATACAAGAAACACACTTAAGTCACAAAGATAGACATTACCTGAGAGTAAAGGGCTGGAAGATGGTTTTCCAAGCAAAAGGACCCAAGAAGCAAGCAGGAGTAGCCATTCTAATATCTAATAAAATAGACTTTCAACCAAAATTAATGAAAAGAGATGGGAAAGGACACATCATACCCATCAAGGGAAAATTCTACCAGGAAGACATCACAATTCTGAACATCTGTGCCTCAAATACAAGGGCAACCACATTTGTAAAAGAAACATTAATAAAACCGAAACCACACATATATCCCCACACATTAATTGTGGGAGATTTTAACACCCCACTCTCAACAAAGGACAGGTCAACAAAACCAAAATTAAACAAAGAAACAATGACTCTACAGAGGTTATGAATCAAGTGGACCTAACAGACATCTACAGAAACTTACACCCAAACACAAAAGAATTTACCTTCTAATCAGCACCTCATGGAACGTTCTCCAAAATAGACCACGTAGTTGATCCCAAAGCAAGCCTCAGCAGATATAAGAAGATTGAAATAATCCCTTGTATCCTATCTAACCACCATGGACTAAAGCTGGACCACAACAATAACAGAAATAGCAAAAAGCCTACACACACATGGAAACTGAACAGCTCACTACTCAATGACAGCTGGGTTAGGGAAGAAATAAAGAAATTTAAGTCTTCCCACAATTCACTGAAAATGAAGGCACAACATACCCAAACTTATGGGACTCAACGAAACCAGTGCTACGAGGAAATTTCATAGCACTAAGCACCTTCAAGAAGAAATTCGAAACATCTCATTCAAGCAACTTAATGGCTCACCTAAAAGCCCTAGGGGGGGAAAAAAAGAAACAGAGACAACAAAGAGTAGTAGATGGCTGCAAATAATTAAACTCAGGGTAAAATCAGTAAATTAGAAGCAAATAAAACAATTAAAAGAATCCATCCAACCCAAGAGCTGGTTCTTTGAGAAAATCAACAAGATAGACAAACCGTGAGCCAAACTAACTGAAAGGCAAGAGACACTATCCAGACCAACAAAATCGGAAATGAAAAGGGGGACATAACAACAGACAATGAAGAAATCCAAACAATCAGGTCTGTCTTCAAAAGCCTATGGGTCACAAAATTTGAAAGTCTAAATGAAATGTGTAATTGTCTTGATCGATTCCACTTGCCAAAGCTGAATCGAGACCAGGTAAATCAATTAAATAGTCCTATATCCTCTAAAGAAATAGAAGCCATCATCAAAATTTCCCATGCATAAGAAGCCCAGGGCCAGATGGTTTCAGCACAGAATTCCACTAGACCTTCAAAGAGGAGATAACACCAATACTCTTCAAAGTATTCTCCAAACAGAAGGAATACTACCAAACTCATTCTATGAAGCCATAGTCACCTTAATACCTAAACCAAGCAAAGCCCCAACAAAGAAAGAATTTCAGGCCAATCTCCCTTATGAACATTGATGGAAAAATATTCAACAAAATACTTGCAAACTAAATCCAAAAACACATCAAAGATATCATCCCCTATGACCAAGTAGGCTTCATTCCAGGCATGCAAAGGTGGTTCAGTATACAGAAATCCATCAATGTAATCCACCATATAAACAAACTGAAGGAGAAAAACCACATGATCATCTCCTTAGATGCTGAAAAAGCATTTGGCAAAATCCAACACCCATTCATGTTTAAAGTCTTGGAGAGATCAGGGATACGAGGCACATACCTAAACATAGAAAAGGCAATATACAGCAAGCCTATAGCCAACATCAAACTAAATGGAGAGAAAATTAAATCAATCCCACTGAAATCAAGGACAAGGCAAGGCTGCCCACTCTCTCCATATCTCTTCAACATAGTACTTAAAGTCCTACCTAGAGCAATAAGACAACTGAAGCAGATCAAGGGGATACAAATTAGAAAGGAAGAAGTCAGAGTATCAGTATTTGCAGATGATATAATATACGTGAGTGACCCTAAAAATTCTACCAGGGAACTCCTACAGCTGATAAACAAAATGGCTGGATACAAAATTAACTTAAAAAAATCAGAAGCCCTCCTGTATACAAAAGACTAAAGGGCTGAGAAAGAAATTAGGGAAACAAGACCCTTCACAGTAGTCACAAAGGATATAAAGTACCTTGGTGTGAACCTAACCAAGCAAGTCAAAGACCTGTATGAAAAAAATTTCCAGTCTCTGAAGAAAGAATTAGAAGAAGATATGAGAAGATGGAAAGATCTCCCATGCTCATGGCTTGGCAGGATTGACACAGTAAAAATGGCCATCAAAAATCAATCTATAGATTCAAGGCAATTCCCATCAAATTAGCAACACGATTCTTTTTTTTTCTTTCCTGACATTATTGTTTTTTTTATTACTCATTTTAATTTTTTAAATTTGTTTTAAATTCATTTTTCATATTAATTACAGTTTATTCACTTTGTATCCCAGCGTCATCCCCCTCCCTCATTCCCTTCCAATCCCTCCCTCCCTCATCTCCTCCCAAGCCCCACTTCATGTCCACTGATAGGGGAGGTTCTTCTCCCCTTCCATTTGACCCTAGCTTATCAGGTCTCATCAGGACTTGCTGCATTGTTCTCCTCTGTGACCTGGCAAGTCTGCTCCCCCCTCAGGGGGAGGTGGTCAAAGAGCCAGCCATTGAGTTCATGTCAGAGACAGTCCCTGTTCCTATTACTAGAGAACTCACTTGGATACTGAGTTGACATGGGCTACATCTGAGCAGGGGATCTATGTTCTATGTATGAATGGTCCTTGGTTGGAGTATCATCTCAGAAAAGAGCCCTGTGTCCAGATATTTTGGTTTTGTTGCTCTCCTTGTGGAGCTCCCGTTCTCTCCAGATCTTAAATATCTCCCCCTTCTTTCATAAGATTCCCTGCACTCCTCGAAAGTTTGGTTTTGTGTCTCAGCATCTGCTTTGATACACTGCTGGGTAGAGTCTTTCAGAGGCCCTCTGTGGTAGGCTCCTGTCCTGTTTCCTGTTTTCTCCTTCCAGTGTCCATCCTCCAACACAATTCTTTACAGAGCTTAAAAGAAAAATTCTCAACTTCATATGGAATAACAATAAACCCAGAGTTGTTAAAACAATCCTCTACAATAAAAGATCTTTTGGAGGTATCTACATCCCTGATCTCAACCTGTACTGTAGAGTAACACTAGTAAAAACTTAATGGTACTGGCATAGATCCCGAGTAGTGAATCAGTGGATTCGAATAGAGACCCTGAAATAAACTCACACACTTATGGACACCTGATTTGTGACAAAGATGCAAAAGTATATAATGGATAAAAGATAGCATCTTTAACAAATGGTGCTGGTCGAACTGGATGTCTACATGTCGAAAAATGGGAATAGATCCATACTTATTAACCTGAATAAAAGTGAAGTCCAAGTGGATCAAAGACCTCAACATAAAGTCAGACATATTAAACCTTTTAGAAGAAAAAGTGGGAAGAGCCTTGAACTCATTGGCCAAGGAGACAACTTCCTAAACAGAACACAGGATCTAAGATCAACAATCAATAAATGGGACCTCATGAAACTGAAAAGCTGCTGTAAAGCAAAGGACACTATTGTCAGAACAAAACAATAGCCTACAGATTGGGAAAAGATCTTTACCTACCCTGTATCTGACAGAGGGTTAATATCCAGAATATATAAAGAACTCAAGAATTTAAATAGTAACAAATCAAGTAACTCAATTAAAAAATCGGGTACAGAGCTAAACAGAATTCTCAACAGAGGAATATTGAATGGCAGAGAAACACGTAAAGAAATGCTCAACCTCATAAGCCATCAGGGAAATGAAAATCAAAACGACCCTGAGATTTCACCTTACACTCATCGGAATGGCTAAGATCAAAAACTTAAGTAATAACTCATGTGGAGAGGATGTGGAGAAAAGGGAGCCCTCCTCCATTGTTGGTGGGAATGTAAACTTGTACAACCACTTTGGAAATCAAAGTGGATACAAGAATGTGGTACATTTACACAGTGGAATACTACTCAGCAAACAAAAACAAGGAAATCATGAAATTTCCAGGCACATGTGGGAACTAGAAAGGATCATCCTGAGTGAGGTATCCCAGAAGCAGAAAGACACACAGGGTACATACTCAATCATAAGTGGATATTAGACATATTCTATAGAATAAACATACTAAAATCTGTACACCTAAAGAAGCTAATCGAGGAGGATGACTATGGGTAAGATGCTCAATCCTCATTCAGAAAGGCAAAGAGGATAGACATCAGAAGAGGAGGAAAACAGGGAATAGGACAGGAGCCTACCACAAAGGACCCCTGAAAGACTCTATCCTGCTGAGACTTAGCCAAACTTTGGTAGAGTTAAGGGAATCTTAATTCAATATAGGGAATGATTTCAGAAAGGAATAACCATTATTATACAAATTACTGCATGGAGACAAGCTAGTTATTCTGATTTACTTATAAAGAAATGGAGATTAAGTAATTTGCCAAGTAAAAGAGCAAGATAATAGAGTCAGGAGGTATGTTGTTCGTGACCTTTAGGAGGCAAAAGCCACATGGTAGGAAATGAAATATTAGTAGTTAGACAGCACACACACACACACACACACACACACACACACATCTTTTATAGTTCAGGGTTCCTTAGAGAGTCCTTCAGTTTACTACTCTGTAGGATGGAGTTACTTCAATTGTTGGTCTCAGTTCATCACAAAATAGAGAAATATGTTCAACGCATTGGAATACTGATATATTCAAGATTTCAAAGAATTGAACCAAACAAAAAAGCACTAAGTGTTGGGGGAGGGTGTTTGTGGTATGGGGAGTCACAGGATTGAATTCTAATCTTCCTTGTTTTTATGAATCATTAGTAAGATTTATAAGATTAGCCATGCTAAAATACTTCAGAAGAATAAATTGGTTTCTTTTTGTGTCTTCAAAGCCAGAAGCAAAAGTAGACCAAGAAACCTTAACAGAAATGGTGAAGCCCAGCATTGATTATGTGCGCCACAAAAAATTCCGATCTGGAAATTACCCATCTTCATTAAGCAATGAAACAGATCGATTGGTCCACTGGTGCCATGGTGCTCCAGGAGTCATCCACATGCTCCTACAGGCCTATCAGGTGAGTGCTTCTCTGTTTGCCTACATGTCAGGGCAGTTTTCATCAACCAGCTTCCAGATTGCTTCTGGATAACGTATTTGTACACTGAAAACTAGTTTTCAATTTTAATCTTTAATCTTAGTGAGTACGCATGTGACAAGTAATATGAATGAGGCTCAGGAGGCAACCTTCAGTTCTGGTCTTTGCCTTTTATCATGTTTGAGCTGGTTACAAGTACAGGTTAACAAATCTGACTTTTTATTTTAAATATATATATTATATATATATATATAATATATATATATGATATCATTTTTTGAGATTATAAAATAATATTATTTTTCCCTTTATTTTTCTTCCTCTAACCCTTCCCGTGTTGGGATACACTGACGTTTTTCAAATACTTGTTCTTTTTCTTTAATTGTTGATATATGTACATATATATTCCCAATACATAAATAACAATATGTTCAGTCTACATGGCACTACTTGTATATACATGTTTTCAGGGCTGACCCATTTCATATTGGATAACCAACTGCTGTATTCTTCCCTAGGGAAGACTATGTCTCCCAGTCTTAGTATTCTTTAGTTTAAAATTGGGAACAAAGCTGGGCATGGTGGTACACTCTTTTAGTCCAGTACTTGCGAGGCAGAGGCCATCAGATCTCTGCAAAATCAAGGTCTACATAGTAAGTTCCAGGCCAGCCAGGGTTACATAGAGAAAGATTTGTCTCAAACAAACAAACCAACAAAACACCCAAAAAACAGAAAACCAAAAATAAGTAAAAATTAGTACTGAGACAGAGCTGTCCACTATCCCCACTTATTTTCAATATAGTGTTTCAGTCACTATAAAGCAATAAGTTAGGAAAATGAAAGTAAAGGGACACAGGTCTGAAAGACATCCAACTATCCTTATTTGCAAATGATATGATCTTATACATAAGAGATTTCAAAGATTCTACTAGAAAACTTCCAGAAATGAATGGTCACTCCTTTGAGCAAAGTGGCAGGATACAAAATCACCTTGCAAAAAAAATTTAGTAGCTTTAGCATCTTTATTTGTAATAGCCAGAAGCTGGAAACAACCCAGATGCCCCTCAACTGAGGAATGGATACAGAAAGTATGGTATATCTACACAATGGAATACTACTCAGCAATAAAGAACAAGGAAATCATGAAATTTGCAGATAAATGGTGGGAACTGGAAAAGATCATCCTGAGTGAGCTATCCCAGAAGCAGAAAGACACACACAGTATATACTAACTCATATAGACATATATTATAGGATAAACCTACTAAAATCTGCACACTAAAGAAACTAATGAAGAGGTAGGACTCTGGATAAAATGCTCAGTCCCCATCCTGAAAGGCAAAGAGGATGGACATCAGAAGGAGAAAACAGGGAATCAGTTAGAAGCCTGCAATGGAGGGCCTCTGAAAGGCTCTGCCCTGCAGACTATCAAAGCAGATGCTGAGACTTATGGCCAAATTTGAGGAGATTGCAGGGAATCTTATGAAAGAAGTAGGAGTTAGTAAGACCTGGAGGGGACAGGAGCTCTACAAGGAGAGCAACAGATCCAAAAAATCTGGGCACATGGGTCTTCCCTGAGACTGATACTCCAACCAAGTAGCATGAATGGAGATAACCCAGAACCCCTGCACAGATATAGCTCATGACAGTTCAGTCTCGTAGTGGGTTTCATAGTAATGGGAACAGGGACTGTCTCTGACATGAACTGATTGGCCTGCTCTTTGGTCACCTTCCCCTGAGGGGGGAGCGGCCTTACCAGGCCACAGAGGAAGACAATGCAGCCACTCCTGATGAGACCTAACAGACTACGATCAGAAGGAAGGAAAAGAAGACCTCCCCTACTAGTAGACTTGGGGAGGCGCATGCATGGAGAAGGAGGAGAAAGAGAGGGACTGGGAGGGGAAGAGGGAGGGAACTACAAGGGGGATACAAAGTAAATAAAGTGTAATTAATAAAAAAATATTTTAAAAATTTAGTAGCCTTTCTATATAGAAACAACAGACATACTAAGAAAAAGATTATGGAAACAATACCATTTACAGTAGCTTGAAAAAAAAAAAGTAGGAATAAGGAGATAAACGATCTCTATAGTGAAAACTTATGTCTGAAGAAAGAAATTAGGAAAGACATTAGAAGATGGGAAGACCTTTTATACTCACAGATTGGTAGAATAAGTACTATGAAAATGACCACCCTACCAAACCAATGTACTAGGAAACAAGTGTATACAGATGAATGCATGGGTGGGTGGTGGATGATAGATAGATAGATAGATAGATAGATAGATAGATAGATAGATAGAT